TGCTTATGCTGTACATTGAATCAAATAAATTCAGGCTTGGTGAGCAGAAGAGATTTCTTTATAAAACATTAAAAATCTTACTGTTCAAAAACTGTTGACTGGTAGGTCATATAGATTACAGTCATTTCTGTCCCCCTCACTTCTGAAATGATGGCTACGCCCCTGACAGCTCCACTGTATTGATGAAAACATACCATTGTTTTAATGCATGTGACAGAGGCCTGCTTTGTTTTTAATTGACTTTAATAGCATTAAAGTGTCAAATGCTAAGATATAAGCACTTGTATAAATATCCATATATTTCTCAGCTATTAAATCATGTGACATTAATAGTACAGCACAAACAATACATTATCATGTTTAAATAACATTATATGAGCACACACTTGTTTCTCCAGCTCAAAATAAAATATTTGTTTTTGCCACTCTTACAGAATTGCGATGCATAATGAAAACAAAAAGCAGTCAGCATTTATAACAGTGCATACTGCAAGTTATTAATCCGGGGACTTTGGAAAGTATGCAATATTTTTGCCCTGATTGGACCTAATTTTATACCATATATTACAGGATTGACAACAGGGGGAACAGTCAGGAATATAACAGACAAAAATGTATATGCTATATTTGACAATGTTTCTACTTTAAATCTAGTGAGAAGAGAATCTGAAAGACCACAGGTTGCATTCAGAAAGGAAATCAAGTGTGGTACACATGTGCTGTAGAACTTTTCTCGATTTACTTTAGTTCCCCTTCAGGAACTCAAGCTGCGTCGAAACGCTATGGGAACGCCTTCAGCGTGACCACGCTCTGAATCACATGTGTAATCAGTCCAATGGATGGGTGAGACATCACGGGCAGGGTGACGTAATGACCAGGAAGCTTAAAAGCACGTGCGGTGGAACCGGCATCCGCTTTCTGTCATTCAGCAAGCGCTCTGTGTGTGTGTCATTCGCTATCTGTTTGTGAGTCTTATTTAGTGTTGTTTGTCCACTTATAAGCTCCATTATGTCAAAGATTCAGTCAATAGAAGCATTTGGGCGAGAGCAGGCAGCGTTCGGGCTGTGTGTTCCTCCCTGCCCGCGCTATACAGGTGCATCTCAGTAAATTAGAATGTCGTGGAAAAGTTAATTTACTGTATATACCTTCAGTGCCCTCAGGAGATCTCCATCCTTCCTCATCAAAGGAAGTCCCTGAGGTTTACTTTGTGGGCAAAGCTTACCAATATCGGGTTCTTCCTTTCGGCCTTGCACTCGCTGAACGATTACGATTACACTCGGTCACATGACACGTGAGAGTAAAGAGGTGTGTTCGACTTGGAGATCGATCGGTGTAGCCTATGACATCAAAGTACGACGAGAGAAAGCATAAGGAGATGTCCGCGCTCTCTCATAGTATCGCAGTACTTTGATGACACACACCCATGGGTCTAAGCAGCACTGCTTCAAGTCGAGCATGGGCCATCAGCAGAAAAAGAAAATAAATAAAACAGTAAACAGCCAAAGGACGTAACTTAGAATTGGAGATGGATCGGTTTGTGAAAGCGAAGAGAAAAGCCATAGATGAAGTTGCACAGACCCAGGCAGGTGCTGGTCATTCAAAAGCTAAATGCAGAAAATATGACGAGGCATATCTTGCTCTCGGCTTCACTCACCGTGTCTATACCGGACGCTACAGTTATTGCGTCGCGCCGCAACAGCTGTACACTGGACATGACAAAGTGACTGATGCAAATAATTTTAACTTTGTGTCAGTACGTCATAAATAGAACATGGCATCAGTTTAATGTCAGGTTTTGTCGTGTCGCGTCACGCCGCATCTAGTGTACACAGCGTCACTGATTATAATGGTTCTACTGTATTTTGCCGCTCGTGTCCAGTGTAGACACAGTGTTTAATGTCGTTGGTGAGGAGGAAAGCCTGTGTGTGTCCTATGCCTTAGCGGACAGCATGAAACCCACAAAAAATAAACAAATAACAGAGAGAGAATAATAATAACAGTTATTCTCTCTATGCTTTTTTTCAATGTTTCAAGTGATGCAGGTGTTTTTTCCCCTGTAGGTTTTTTAAATTAAAAAAGCATTCATTTTAAAATAATTAATTAACTCCTCTCCGGCTGGACGCTATGGTGCAGACTTGGCCGAGGCTTTGTCTGTACGCTTTTCCCCCTGATCGCTCTGCTCCCGGGAGTTCTTGAGAGAGTGTGCCGGGACGGGGTCCGTCTGCTGCTAGTAGCCCCGTTCTGGCCGGGCCGAGTATGGTTCACAGACCTGATTTCCATGGGAGATACCCGTCAGGAGGGACCTCCTCTCACAGGCGGATGCACGATATTCTACCCCCGCCCGGAGCTGTGGAAGCTATGGGTGTGGCCTCTGAGGGGCTTTTTGAGACCATCCTCCAATCCAGAGCTCCCTCCACGAGGAAACTGTACACCTTGAAGTGGAAACTTTTCACTTCTTGGTGCGGAGACTGCCAGCTCGACCCAGCTAACGGCCCAGTTGGTACAGTATTGGAGTTCCTGCAGACCAGATTCTCCGCAGGGTTAACCCACTCCACCCTGAAAGTCTACGTGGCGGCCATTGCGGCCTACCATGCCTCTATTGGTGGCCAGTCAGTGGGCAGACACCCCCTAGTTACACGTTTCCTCCGCGGTGCGCTGAGGCTGAGGCCTCTCGTACGATCTCGCGTCCCAACGTGGGACCTGGCTGTGGTGTTAGAAGCTGTCTGTAAGCCTCCATTCGAGCCAATTGAGGAGATCTCTGATCGTCACCTCACTATAAAGACTACCTTTCTTCTGGCTGTGTATTGGCAAGAATCTGGCGATACGATACGTATCACGATACAGGGGTTGCGATACGATATGTTGCGATACATT